CACTCTCTTGGCCTAACATATGGCAGGGCTCACCCCATTTTATGGAGTCATTCAAAACTTCCTGCTTGCTTTGATTTCTTAATAATGGCCTGACAGCTACTGAGGAACTGAAAGTAAATGAGACCTGGGAAAAGAGAAACAAAATGCAGCCCATAGAATTTCTCTCTTTGATGGGTTATCAAGAGTTCATGGAGCACAGAGATCAATGAGAATGGTGATGACCATGACGTGAGTGGCATTTCCCAAAGAACTGATGTGTTTTAATATTGAAAAATGTTTCTTTTTTAGACCAGATTGAGGTTTATAGGTTATTGAGCAAATAGTGCATAGAGTTCCCATATACCCACCCCCACAAACACACACAGAGCTTCCCCTATTGTTAATATCTTGCTTTAGCATGGGACATTAGTTACCACTGAGGAACCAATATTGATATATTATTAACTAAAGTCCATAGTTTACATTAGGGCTCACTCCTCACATTGCATATTCTGTGGGTTTTGGCAAATATATAATAAGTATACACCACTGCCATGTCATACAGAATAGTTTCACTGCCCCCAAATCCCTGTGCTTCCCCTGTTCATGCAATCCCACATCCACCACTCTGGATGGGATGAACCCATCCAACTGGAATTCCATTTGGAATTCCATTCATTCCAGTTCCATCCAACTGGAAACCACTGATCTTTTTACCGTCTCTATAGTTTTACTTTTCTCAGAATTTCATATAGTTGAAATTGTACACTATGTAGCCTTTTCAGACTGGCTTCTTTCACTAAACAATGTGCATTTACATGGTTCCGCCATGTCTTTTTGTGGCTTGATAGTTCATTTCTTTTCATCACTATTATTTTATTGTACAGATGTACCACAATTTGCCTATCCATTTACCTTTTAAAGGACACCTTGGTTGCTTCCAGTTTGGGGCAATTATGAATAAGAATACTATAAACATGTATCCAAAATAAATGAGTCTTAAAACTCAACAGTTAAGAAACAGACAACCCAGTTTACAAATGGGCAAAAGATATGAATAGACATCTCACCAAGGAAGATAGACAGATGGCAAATAAGCCTATGAAAAGATGCTAAACATCATATAGTTTTCTTCATATAGATCTTTACATATTTTGTTAGATTTATACCTCAGTCTGTCTGTCTGGTCTTTCTTTCTTCCCCCCCCCCTTTTTTTTTTTTTTTGGTGCTAACATAAGTGGTGTTGTATTTTTAATTTCTAATTCCAGCTGTTCACTGCTGGTATTCAGGAAAGCAATCAACTTTTGTATATTAATTTTGTATCTTGCAACCTTCCTACAATTGCTTATTAATTCTAAGAGTGTTTTTGTTGATTCTTTGGGACTTTCTGCATAGGCAATCATGTCATCTGCAACCAGAGACAGTTTTATTTCTTCCTTCCCAATCTATGTACCTTTTATTTCCTTTTCTTGTCTTATTGCATGTCCTGGCTAGGACACCATACTGTGTTAAAAAGGAGTGTGAAAAGGGACATCCTTGTCTTGTTCCTGATCTTATGGAAAAGTTTCTAGTTTCTCATCATTAAGTGTGATTAGCTTTAGGGATTTTGTAGATGTTCTTTATCAGGTTGAGGAAGTTCCCCTCTATTCCTAATTTGCCAAAAGTTTTGTGTTTTTGCTTTTTAATGATGAATAGGTGTTGAATTTTGTCAAATGCTCTTTCTTCATCCAGTGATATGATCCTGTGACTTTTCTTCTCTAGCCTGTTGAGGTGACAGATTACATTAATTGATTTTCAAGTGTCAACCCAGTCTTGCATACCTGCATGCTTGCTTGTGGTGTACAATTCTTTGTGTACATTGTTGGATTCGATTTGCTAATATTTTGTTGAGGATTTTGCTTCTATGTTCATGAGAAATATTGGTCTGAAGTTTTCTCTTCTTGTAATATCTTTGTCTGGTTTTGGTATTAGAGTAATGTTGTCCACATAGAATGAGTTAGGGAGTGTTCCTTCTGTTTCTATTTTCTGGAAGAGGTTGTAGAAAACTGGTATCATTTTTTCCTTAAGTGTTTGTTGGAATTCACCAGTGAACCCATCTGGGCCTGGTGCTTTCTGTTTTGGAAGGCTATTAATTATTGATTCAAATTCTTTAATATATATGGGCCTATTCAGATCATTTAGTTCTCCTTGTATGAGTTTTGATACATTGTATCTTGCAAGGAGGTGGTCAGTTTCATCTGAGTTATCAAATTTGTGGGCATAGAATTATTTATAATGTTACTTTATTATCCTTTTAATGTTTATGGGATCAGTAGTGATGGTCTCTCTTTCATTTCTGATTTTAGTAATTTGTACCCTCTCTCTTTTTTTCTTGGTTAGCTTCCTAGAGGCTTTACAATTTTATCAATCTTTTCAAAGAATCAACTTTTTGTTTTATTGATTTTTCTCTATTATTTTCCTGTTTTTTTATTTCATTCATTTCTGTCCTAATTTTTTCTTCTGCTTGTCTTAGGCTTATATTGCTCTTCATTCTCTAATTTCCTAAGGTGGAAGCTTAGATTATTGATTTTAAACTCTTTCTTCTCTAATATATGTATTCTATGCTATAAATTTCCTTCTCAGCACTGCTTTCCTGCATCCCACAAATTCTGATAAGTTGTATTTTCATTTGCATGTACTTCCATTTCATTTAGATAATTTTTTCTTTGTCTTACGACTTCTTCCTTGACCAACATGCTATTTAGAAGCATGTTGTTTAATCTCCAAATACTTTGGAATTTTCAACTCTCTTTCGGCTATTGATTCCTGGTTTGATTCCATCATAGGCTGAGGGCATGCTTCGTATGATTTCTGTTCTTTTAAATTTGTTGAGTTATGTTTTGTGGCTCAGAGTGTGGTCTATCTTGGTGAATGTTCTATGTGAGCTTGAGAACAATGTGCATTTTGTTGTTACTTGGTGAAGCAATCTATACATGTCATTTAGATGCAGTTGACTGATGGTGGTGTTCAGTTCAGCTTTATCCTTACTAATTTTCTGCCTGCTGAATCTGTCCATTACTGATACAGGGATGTTGAAGTCTCCAACTATCATAATGGATTTGTTTATTTCTCCTCAAACTTCTATCACTTTCTGCCTCACCTATTCTGATGCTCTATCTTTAGGCATATACAATTAAGGATTGTTATGTCTTCTTGGAGAATTGACCCCTTTATCATCATATGTAATGCCTCTCTTTACCCTGGTAACACTTCTTCCTCTGAAGTCAGTTCCATCTGACATTAATATAGTTCCTCCTGCTTTCTTTTTGTGTTTCAGTATTCTGAGTACCCAAGTGTATGATAAAAATTTGCAAAGTGGGTAAGAACACAGACATTTGAATCAACCAAATCTGAAAACAATCCAGGCTAGCCAAGCTGGGTGACTTTGGGCAAATTTAATCATTCTGTGCCTCAGTTTCCTTATCTACAAAATAGAGAAACATCCCTTTGGATTATTGTGTAGATGAAATGGGATAATGCAGTGGAGCACTTAGCAAATTTCCTGGCATGTAATGTTGAATTAATATATTCTATTAATACAAGTTAGTATATTACTGTATAACAATATAAGCTATATAATATAAGCTATTATTATATTATCAATATAGGCTATTGGTATCATTGTATTTTGGGACTTTACACTTTGTACTGTATTATGGGACTTTATACTTTTCTAAGTGCAAGTACTCTTTGTAAGAATGTCAGATGAGGCACTCCGAGAAGATAAATCTAGAAACTAATTGCAAAGTCTCAGGCCGGGGTAGATGTCTAATAGGCACAATGTCCTGAAAAGAGAAAGACTTCACGTATGCCCTACAGCCACAGTCCAGAGCCCCACGACCCAGGGAATGTAATGTAGGCTTTCCTCCCGGGTGCTAAACTTTGCTCACTCTTCTAACCAAAGAGAAATTACGGAGGAGCCTTCTGCCCCGCATTGCCAACTCACAGACACACTCTCTGGGCTGGGGTCCCTTTCTTTCTGGAAATGTAGTCACACCTGGCCCCCTATTGAAAAGCAGATCATCACCGATGAGATAAATTCTGAGCAGCTTTTAAAAAGCAACAGAAATAACTAATCACATGGGAAAACCTTCATTGTACACCAAGGTTTTGTAAAAGTAGTTATAAAATTGTATGTTATGTGGTGTGATCTCAATTTTGTTTGAACTTTTTAAAAAGATTGTAAGCATAAACAGAAGACTGGAAGGAAGTGAGCCACAGTATTAAAACAGTGCCTGCCTCTGGGGGATGGGAGCCTAAGTGATTATAATGTCTTCTTTGTGCTTTTCTCCAGTTCTCATTTTCTGTAACACTTTTAAAATGTTATTTTCAAAATGAATAAAAAAATTAATGAACAACAATCATTAGAAACTCTCCCCTCCCTTAGCTCTATGTACCTTATTCCACAAACTTGGTATTTTCCTTGCAGGAAAGTGGACAGTTGTCACTTGCCAACTGATCTTTCTAGTTTGTGTTTGGGGTGATTTTTGCTTTCTGTCTTGCCATTCTGGACAACCAAAAGCGTACCTATGTGGGGTCAGGGGGAGAGAAAGGGGCCAACTCCCTGGCCAGAATATGTGCTCATTCAGGCTCCCCCGAGTTCCCTTTGCCTCTGTGCCACCTGATTCCCCACCTCACAACTTGGGCGCCTGCTCTGGGTCTAGAGTCAGAGAGCACATACCCCAGCTCCACCACACACTAAGCATGTGAGCTTGGCCAGGTCACTTAACTTCTCTGACCCTGAGCATCATCATTTTTTTTTTTTTTTTTTAAGGGAGAGAGTGTTGTGGGGGTGGGGCAGACGGAGAGGCAGAGTATCTTAAGCAGGCTCCATGCCCAGCCCAGAGCCCAAGCGTCATCATTTTTAAATGAGGGTTGTGGTGACCAGCTGGCCAGGTGAGGGACTTAGCACCTTCCGGTACCCAGTGCTCACTAGTAGATGTTGGGGCCCCAGTTACAGCTGTCTTCCTTCTGTATTTCAGTCTGCTGACATCGACAACCATCATGCACTTATTGAATATAATGAGAGCGAGGACAGCTTTGTTCTCCAGGACTTCAATTCCCGAAACGGTACCTTCGTCAACGAGTGCCACATTCAGAATGTGGCCGTGAAGCTGCTACCCGGAGACATCCTGAGATTTGGCCCTGGAGGGCTGACCTACGAACTGGTCATTGAAAATCCACCCTCGGTGAGTCCAGGCCTTTGCAGGGTAGGGGGCCAGAGGCGCCATGTCCTGTCGTCTTCTGTGCATCCAAAGGGTGGTGCTTGTCCAGAGCGTGCCACCCGGATTTCATGCTGTGCACACAAGTGACAATGACCCACCAGACCTTGCAAGGTTCACACCAATCCAGCCGGATCCTGGTGGGGTGTGCGTCCTAGCGCCCTCTTCTGGGCATTTCCTGGAATGACGTGTAAGAGTTGCACAGGGGCGAACCCCGAACCATAGCGTTTTCCTGGAAATGCAAAGCTTGGTTAGGGCAAGAGGAAAGCAGGCGTGTGCTTTTGAAAACTCAGAAATGGATGCTTCTTTTTAGGCAGATCAGCACTCTGCAGCTTCTTCGCTTTGTGACCTCAGCCAGGGTTCTTTATATGCCCGGGTCTCAGGCTTCCGATGCTGCACGGCATTGAAAAGATATCTCTTTGTAAAGTGTGAAAGTCAGTGTCCGCCTCCGGCGGAGACTCAGCACATGGCACCTGTTATCATACCCCCGATCAGAAACATCCTTGGGATCCTGACCTAAAATATGGCCCCAGTTTAAGCAAAATGCAACACAAAACTTCCCCATTAAAGCTTAGTCCCAAGGAACACACCGTTCTCAGGGGAAGCAGGCTGGGGCCAGGGGGCGGGGGGCGGGGGGCGGGGGGGGGCGCGGGGCTGGTTAGCGGCTCAGGCTTCAGTCAGAATCCCAGCTCTGCCACTCGCATACTCTCATGTGCTCCTGAGCAAGCCTCTGGACCCCCCAGAACCTCCCGTTTCTTCCTCTATAAAATGGGGCCTTGCAGGCTCACCTTGAGGGTGGAAAGAGATGATTATAATTGTAAAACTAGCATGGTGCCCGTTCACGGTGAGCACACAATTAATATCTGTCACATGTGTCCAAGAGAGATGGCATCTTTATCTTACTCACCGCCCCCCAAGAACGCTACATGGACTCAGGCCTCCAAAGCTTAAAATCCTTTCTGGGACAAGGCTGGGTATAAATAAATCAAATTGAGAGGATCTAGACAGACTCCTGGGGTTTTGAGCCCACAGGCGGCCCTAACTGTGCACCCCAGGAAGATGGACGGCGTCCCTCAGGCTGCATGGGCCATCAAAAAACAGCAGGACACCCAGTTAAATCTGAATTTCAGAGAAACAACAAATAATCTTTTAGTATAAGTATGTCCCAAATATTGCAAGGGATCGCTTATGCTAAAAAAATTATTTAGTATTTGTCTGAAATTCAGAGTTAATTGGATACTCTATATTTCATTTATATATATATTTTTTAATCTACGTATTTATTTATGTTAAATCTGGCGACCCTACACAGCCTCCCTGGGAGTGGGGCCTGCATTGGGGAATATGCATTCTCACAGGCTCCTTGGTGATTCCGATGTACCCCCAACAGAAGGGAAGCCTAAATATGGAATCCCTTGTATAGAGCATTTACAGATTTTTTTTTCTGAACCAGAGAAAATGGAGTTTCCAACCCCAAGCCTGTAAATCCAAGTTTGTGAAGTTTGAGTCAATGTTTCTCAAATATGTTTGATTATAAGAATGTTTCTGGAATGTTCAACAAAATTACAGGTTCCCAGGCCCCACTGCCTGGGAAGTTCTCATTTTGTGGCTTGCCAGCAGGGGAAAGGGCAACAAACAGTGTTTGCATTTTTTTCATACGAAGATATTTATGGAAATATTATTTATAGGGACACAAAAATTGAAACTTAAATATCCATCAAAAGGAGGCATTGTTTGAAAAAACTACAAGGAGTTTGTTCGTATATGGAAAACTGTGCTGCTTTTTTAAGAAATAGCTTTATGGAGGGGTGCCTGGGGACTCTTGATCTCAGGGTTGTGAGTTCAAGCCTCACATTGGGCTCCAAGCTGGGCATAGAGCCCACTTTAAAAAAAAAGAAAAAAAAAAAGGAAAAAAACCAGCTTAATGGAGATATGATTGACGTACAATCAGCTACACATGTTTAAAGGATAAAATCTGATGGGCTTTGATTATGTAAAGTAAAATTTACATAACATAAACTTCGTTCATTGTAAGCCTGCGATTCAGCCCATTTTTGTATGTTTTTTTTAAAGATTTTATTTATTTATTTGAGAGAGAGAGCACAAGCAGGGGAAGAGGGAGAGCTGAACAGGAAGCCCGATGTGGGGCTCCATCCCAGGACCCCGAGATCATGACCTAAGCGGAAGGCAGACGCCTAACCAACTGAGCTACACAGGCGCCCCCCATTTTTGTATGTTTACGGATTTAGACATCACCACAACCTTTCAGAATATTTCCATCCATTTCTGTTACTCCCCAAAAAACCTTGGAGGGGGGCGCCTGGGTGGCTCAGTCAGTTAAACGTCGCCTTTGGCTGAGGTCATGATCCCAGGGTCCTGGGATCGAGCCCCACCTCGGGCTCCCTGATCCGCGGGAAGCCTGCTTCTCCCTCTCCCACCCCCCCTGCTTGTGTTCTCTCTCTCACTGTGTCTCTCTCTGTGTCAAATAAATAAATAAAATCTTAAAAAAAAAAAAAAACAACCTTGGAGGTACTTAGGTTTTTTTGTTTTTAATTTTTAATTTTAAAGATTGTGGCCAAATACTGAAAACATTCACCATGGTAACTGTTTTTAAGTATAGAGTTCCACGCCATTCCATTCGCATGGTTCTACGGCAGTCTCCAGAACTCTGTTCATCTTCCCAAACTGAAACTCGGTGCCCATTAAATAAAAACTCCCTCCTCCTTCTGCCCCCAGCCACCATTCTTTCTGTCTCTCTGAATTTGACCGCTCCGGGCACCTCGTGTAAGTGGAATCTAACAGTGTTTGTCCCTTTGTGACTGTCTCGCTCCACTTACGTAGTATCATGTCCTCGAGGTGCATCCATGTTGTAGCAGGTGTCAGAATCCCCTTCCTTTTTGAGTAAGGGGATGCTTTTGAGCTGAGTAATATTCTGTCCTGGGTCTACACCACATTTCGTTGAGCTGTTGATCCATCGATGACTGTGCCCACCTTCTGGCTGTGGTGAATAAGGATGTCATGCACACAGGTGTCTAAGTATGGAAGGGGTACTTCATTTTATGAGGTGTTTCTGATATGAGGTAAGTATAAGAAACAATGATGACGACCTCGAACCTTGACTACAGAAGGAGAGGACCCTTGGTAAAAAGAGAAATCAGTGGAGTAGCAGGAGTTCCGGATATGAACGACACTGTGCTAAGCAATTTGCCTGCTCTCCCTTATTTAACACTCACAACAACCTACGAGGTGGGTTCTCTCATGATCCCCATCTTACAGACAAAGAATCCAAAACTCAAAGAAGTTAAGTGATTTCCCCAGCATCACACAGCTGGTCAATGCAGAATTCATCTCTGTCCCCACTTGTGGGGAACAGAGGGAAGAAAACCATTTAATCTAATGCTAGCCAGAGTAGTATCCCTGACTGGTTTTCAAAGAGAGCAAAGCACACTTTTGTGGGCACTTGAATATACACACATTTTTTTCATTCTTATTTCTATAAGCATTTGCGTCCCGCTTCATTCCCTCAAGTGACGGCAATCAGCTGCACAAATGTTCTGCAGGCCTCTGCCCAGGGTGCTTGTAGCAGCCTGGGCTTTCCCAGGGAGCCACCTTTTGCCGCGGGCTCTCCCCTCCTCCATCCTCCCCAAAGTGCTCTCTGCGCAGGGCATTCCTAGATTGAGAGACTTTCATGCAAGCATCCTCTGAGCTCTTAGTAATGGAGGGGTCCTCTGCAGGGCCTGAGTGAGGGTAGCCTTATGGACTGGAAGGAGGGAAGGTAGGACGGAAGGAAGGAAGGAAGGAAGGAAGGAAGGAAGGAAGGAAGGAAGGA